AAGGGATGACTGCTATTTATAGCCGGGTGAAAGACTATGTCGGTTTGGGAAGGCACTACATGTTGCCTGTCATGCACGGTTAGGCTTGCATGCATGCTTCCACTTGTGTCTCTTGTGAGTTGTACTAGGGACAAGTGTAATTTGTTTGGCTGGCCATTAGTTGACATTTACTTCATGCCTAAGTATGTGGCCTAATGGTCGTTTGTAAAATGTAATTTTACATTGGGGCTTAAAAAACTCTGTATAGAAAATAACCATTAAAGTTTTGTTGTGATCCAAATTAAGATCAATATCCTAAGTGTTGTTCATGGCGATTCTAATAATTACTTAGCAAATATGGATGTATCTTACAGTCGCTGGAAAGGTTGTATTTGTTTGAAGGTTTTACATCGCTTGTTTTATGTGTAAGAAATGAGAGACAATGGTTCAATTGTAAATTTACAAACTATAAGGAGGTTCGGAGAAGAAAAGTTGTACATAGAAAAATTTACATACATCTTACCACCCAGGGGTAGGTACCTCACATGTCTCATATACTACCATATGATATTATATATACTATTTTATCATTATAAGTATGTTCATATATTATATGTAACATATTCCAAAGTGAGTTATATGAAAAAACTACAAGTTGGCCCACGAAGTTTGACTTCAGTCAACTCTAATATCCAAAGTAAATAAAAACGTAGGGAGTATATATTTGTACGAAAAAAGAGCATACACAAAATACGATGCATAGTACCTAAAAACTAGTATGCATACTGTGTAAACATTCTTATATACTACATACTAAGTGTACATACTCTCCGATTTGATAGATACTACATACAACATACAAAACTCAAGTGGTGGTAACTACCACCGATGGTAGATAAAATGTGTCATGTGTGTGTTGTGGTTAATTGTAATTATTTGACTAATTATGTCTTGTGACACCGGTGTAACCTAACGCCGTCAAAAATATCGTTATCTAATTTTGAGGGTTTTTACATCGACGCTCCTGCAATAAGCCGAGAATGGACGCAGAATTAGAGGGATCAAAGTGGCTCTGCAGGCACCAGCTATATCACATCTTCTGTTTGTCGACGACTCACTGCTCTTGTTTGAAGCTACCAAGGCGGTTACTAATGACATTAGCTGCATCCTCACAGTTTATGAAGCAGGTTCAGGGCAAATGGTGAATAAGACAAGTCATCAATTATGTTCAGTAGAAACGCTAAGGGTGTGTTTGGTACCATGTATGAACCTAGCCTAGTTGTTCTCCTCTCATACATGATGAGTGTAGACATGTTGAGTCCATGCAGTTGTTGTTGTTTGGCAACGATGTATGCACTGAGACATGCTGAGTTGAGACTTTGTTTGGCAGTCTGCATTTGTTTAGACATGCTGAACAATTTCAAATTCTGGGTCCTTTTTTGGAATGATGAACAAAATCAAAAAAATGTGAACACAAATTTGAACATATTTTGAAAATTTAAACAAAATTTGGTAAATTAAAAAAATGTTAATTTTAAGGGTGTGTTTGGTACACATATTTGAACTTCCGAGCTTTTTTGAAATTAATGTTAAATTTTGAATATTTTGTAAAAATAAAAATAAAATTTGAAATTCTGAAACAATTCAAAATTAAAACAAATTTTGATTTCTTTTGAAATTTCGAACATTTTTACTTTTTAAAAAATTGAAATTGTGAACATTTATTGAAAATTCAAAAAAAATGAAATTATGAACATTTTTTGAAAATTTAAACAATTTTGAAATATTAAAGTTTTTCAAAAAATTAAAGAAATTTTGAAATTTTGAACTTCGTCAAAAATTCAAACAAAATTTAAAATTCTGAACATTTTTTGTAAATATAAACATATTTGAACGTGGTCTTGTGGGTGGGGACGAGTGTCAGCGCCAGCATGACTGCCTCCGTGCACCCTGTCTCGGGTGCATGAGGTGAGCATGGATGAGGGCCCTTTTATGCATCAGATGACCATTGGCCAGGTGAGCCCATGACCCTACCAAGAGCAAAAATGGTTTAGATTGGAAACTTTTGCCCTCATGCACCCTACCAAACACACCCTAAGACTTTGGTGAAAAGGGTGATCATGAACATCCTCGGTTTGCAGCAGGAAACAACTAAAGGTAAATACCTTGGACTCCCCATGTGCGTTGGTCGGTCTGTCATGCAGTGTTTCGAGTATATAAAAGGTTCGGTTGTGGGCTAGGAGGCTGTTTGGATTGGAGCCCCCGTCCGCCCAGCCAATATTTTGGCGTTGACCGATAAAGCGCAGCTCGTTTGGATGAGCTCCAATCTTTTGGCTCGCCAGCGCACCCCACCTTTTCCTCTTTTGTTTCTGCGCCAACGCATTGGCGAAACTGGAGCGGCCGAATCGGCCGCCAACTTTTTGGCATGCCCACGGCGCCAACCATTTGGCGCGGCGCTCCTGGGCATAAACCAAACAAGCCCTAGAATACAAGGATGGCTGGAACGATTCCTCTCCATGAAGGGGAAGGAGATCTTAGCGGCATATGCTATGAGTTGTTTTGACCTTACAAAAGTCCTCTGTGATGAGCTCAAGAACATGATATGCAACAACAAGACGAGAAGAAATGCAGTTGGTGGTTGGGAAAAGATGAAGCTACCCAGAGATTGTGGGGGGGTCTCGGTTCCAGGGACTTGTATTCTTTTAACCTTGCGCTGCTTGCGAGGCAATCGTGGTGGCTTCTCCAAGCTCCGGAGTCCCTATATGCAGGAGTGTTACGAGCCAAATACTACCGTGACATCCTCTCTGCTGCCCCCACGGCGGGGATAAGATATACTTGGATAAGTATTCTTCAAGGGCTTGAAATCATCAAGGAAGGATATATCTGAAGAGTGGGTTCTGGCGAGAATATAAGAATCTGGTCTGATCTGATGAACCCTAATTTGAACTCCTGGGACGAGAATCTGGTCAGACAAACTTTTCTCCACTCTTGTCAGTTAAACCGGCCTATAGGGTGTACAGTCAAATAAGTGCATAAGTCATGTTGCGTGAGCACGTGTATCACGTTGCAAACTCCTCAGGACAACATCGGTTATGTTGCAAATGATGTATCGCATCGTCTGATGCAGCGCACGGGATATTCACATCGTACATGGTTTTACTTTCGTGATTTGTATTCATTCATGGCAGCCTACCTACAATGGTACAGGAAGCAGACTCAGTAGTCTAGGACCCACTAGAGACGTCAGATGGGATAGGATCGAACGGCACACCAGCCGGATGATATCCGCTGAAAATCATCCAGATTACGCGCAGCAATCTGACGAGGTCCCTCGAGTCATCTCTGCCACTGGAATCCAGCTTCCTACGTGAGCATCACTTGTACGTCCAGCCCGGCGTACTAATTGATCAAGTTACCAAGCGAGTTTTTGTCTATCTACGCGTGTTACTGTGCCCAATAGCACCGGCCAGGCACCTCGTCAAGAAAGTAGAAGCATCTTCTTACATGCAATTTAACAGAGTTAGATTGAAAAATGGACAGAAGTGTCATATAAAGGGCATAAAATCTAGAATCGGTGTTAATTAGCAAAGAAAATAGTTTTCCGTGTCAGAAACAAAATTTAATAGTGTTAAATAAGGAATTATTTAACTATTGCCTAACAAATTGCGGACACCTACAACTATTGCCGGACACCTACAACAGCTATTACTCATGTTCGGCAGTGAATTTTACATAATAACCCCTTCTAAAGTATAAACATGTGACAACCAACCAAGTCTATGCTAGATGTAACCGCAGGGCAGACACTAGGCTGTGTTCAGGAGTACAAACTGGCAGAAAAATGTATACCTCAAGCAGTATGCGAGTTAAACAATAACACACAACTGAACTCACGCAAAGTTTCATAAACAGATCATATAAACCTTACAGGCCGAAAATAGACATACTGCAGAACATGATTCACCAACAGAGAGCAACAATAACCGGAAACCAAAACGTCCGCTTCCCTGCATAAACAGAATGCATAAACCTTACCGGTCAATAATATATAAGCTGCACACCATGGCCAACAGCTAACCCTCTTCAGCTGGGTTACAAGCATTAACACACAACAATCAGAACGGCTGGGTTACAAGGATTAATAACACACACACACACACACACACAAACATGTATATACTTCAGCGTAGAAATCAAGTTGATGATAGCTACCCTCAAAACTAGGATGCAAGAGGTGCGCCAGCAACAGCCAGTTAAGCAGCTATCACAGTACAAATTATACTAATGACACGAAAAAACTACTACAGCTGATTTGGCCAGCCGAACAGGGCAGTTGCAGCGGCGCCGCTTGCATCTCTACTCGGAACATCTTGCCAGTAAAACCAGGCATCCTGTGACAAGATCAGCCGACTATGAGTATGCATTCATGCATACACATGTACACATCATTACAATCTTAAATCCCCTCATGACAGAACTGTCAAATTACTCATTGCTGTGAAAGATGAACTGCTGCAGCGGCTGCCCCTCTTGCAAACAGGTGTTGTTAGTGCGGCTACAGGCATCCATGTCCATGCTGAATCAATGGTAACAGGCGCATGCAACTGTCCATCACTCGCTTGGTCAAAAACCATATTGCCTACAATCAGGACACCACTACCCAAACTCTGATGTCTCACCCAAAATTGTCAGTAAGAAACTTGTTTAGTGATATAAGCATTAAAACTAGTAACTTGCAAACATACACTAAATCGTCCGAGCTAAATGCACCGCTACACCACAAAAGTTAGACGACAAAGCTCCCCTGAGCAAGGTCAAAAGTATAGGCCAACCAGTTTTATGCTACTGCAGAAAGGCAGAATAATGAGTAGATTCCAGAAAATGACAAAAATGTAGGCATTAATTTTCGGTAATTATAACACTAGTCAGTTATTAAGCAGAATAAGACAAAATAGCAGCAATTGAGAACATGACAAGGGACAGTTGTAAGTACTGACAAATCTTGGAGGTAAAAGCAAAGCCTAACGGATCTCCCCATCTTCTCCAAGTTCACCGTCTTCAAGCTCCTCATGCCCACCATTTTTGCGGGAACTATCTCGATCCTTTTTGTGTCTTCTATGCCGGTTTTCACTATCTGAGTCTGAAGCATGGGTGTGCTGCATAAAATGATAAACAAATCTCAACGTCAGCTAGACATTCACCCCTCTCAAGACAGTGTACATGCAAATATTTGATAGATCAAAAAATCATCATAAGCATGGGCATGCTGCATGAATGACAAACATTCTCAACATCGGCTTTAGACATCACCCCTTCTCAAGAGACAAGTGATGCAAATAGTTGATGCATCAAAAAATCATCTTGCAATCCTCCCCAGAACTGCCCCCTTATTAACCCCTTAGAAAGCAAGCAAATTGCATGGGTGAGAATTGCCCAGAGTCCAAAGTTGGAGATCTTAGATGACCCTTGGGCAGGAGGGATGCATGAAGGAGGCAAGTCCTACACTTGCTTGTCCCTGACCAAGAAAAAGAATTGGACCCTCCCCTTGGCCCTTGTGACAAATGTCAATTGTCATGTAAGATTACATGCCTTGGTTAAGTAGTTACCAGATAATTATTACCATCACCAATATTCATGTGGTATTGATGCCTGAAGCGCATGAATTACAACCATGCTAATTCTCGATATGATTTATGCAATAGATATTTTAAATAAAACAAAATATCATATACTGGCAATATCTCAAGTTCACCATTAATTTGAAACTAATGTATATCAATGTGCAACAATACATACGCACATGCCTCACCAAACTGTCCACATATTTAAACATCACGACACAAAGGCAACAATGTTCTTAGTTCACTAACACATATTGCGATGGGAACACTAAATTTGGCGCGAAGAAGACTTGAATTGACTAGGTGTTGGAGGCAATCTGCCAACCATATTCTAAGTACCTTGATTTGGACAAAAGGATACCAAATGTTATACCTTCCTAGATTTCTTGCGATCACTGCTATGCCTTCGAGATTTCCTCGAGTCATCCTTCTCATCCCTTTCAGAATCTGTGGTGTCATGGTGGCGCCTTTTATGCTTCTTTTCTTTATCCTTCTCTCGTTTCTTATCTTTTGAGGCATGAATTTCCACATCATCATCAATATCCATTTCATCTCTCCTTGACCGGTCTTTTCCTTTTTCCCTTTCTCTTTCCTTCTCTCGGTCTCTTTCTTTGTCTTTGCGATCTTTCTCCTTCTTTTCCTTTTCCTTCTCTTTCTTCTTTTCTCTCTCTTCACGGTCTTTCTCTTTCTTCGCCTGCATAGAAGAAAACATGCATAAAGCATATGTAGGTAAACAATACATGCAGTTAAGTTGCAATCGTGTTTACATTTGGGCAGCTAATAAGTTCATATAGTGGCTATTTGGATGGTCACCAGGACTTGCCCTTCCAATATTTTGGCATTGACAGGTAGCATAGGCCCGTGTTTGGATTGAGATCCAATTTGCAGAACCACACTAATTTTTTGGCTGGAAAAACGAGGGCAGCAGATTTGTTCGCGAAATTGTTGGCACGCACAGAATTTGTAGCATAGCACATGCATTGTCCAAATAGAGCCATACATTCAGGTGCCAATTCTAGTTGGTAGCAAGCATGGCTACGGTACATGTGCACTTTACGCACTTGTTCCACCACCCACAAAACAAGCAGGAGTGAGGAGAGTGCTTTGGGAATAATACAAGAGGAGTAAGTTCAGAAAACATGCAAGTAGTAGATAAATATCATTTCTAATAGATGCCCGCAGAACAAAACAAATAAGCATAATAACATGACCAAACAGCAAATTATAATAGGACTAAATGGTAAATGATTCTACAAAACAGTAACATTACCTTCTCTTCTTCCCTCATGCGCTCTTTCTCTTTAAGCCTTTCTTTGAGGCGGGCAATATACTCTTCAAAAAGCTCTTTAGCATATGTCTCGCCACCCAGATCCCTATGCGACATACAACAGACAAAATCAATCCATATCCCAAGGGGCAAAAATAACAAATATAAGTACATATTGCCCTCAGAGAGGAGCATTTGTGAACATCCAATGCCAAAACCAGCATTTTGCTTATGTTCGTTAATTAGGTCCTGGTATATGATCCAATTTTGCGTAGGTAATCAGGGCCCAAACAATCTCCAAGGTAATACTACCTCCGTCCAGATTTAAAAGGCCCGTTGGCTAGAACCAAGGCGGGTTATTAATGCCAATTACGTGAGGCTTTTTTGGATGGCAACTACCAATCAGCTTGCCCTTGATTAGGGCGTCCATAATTACAGCGCCATCTTTCAAGTCTGTTCTGCATGCAGCCAATTGCTGCGCGGGTCCACCTCTGCATGTAGCCAATCAGGCTAACACTTGGTTTGGAAGGTGAACAAAGTGCTATGATTATCTCTCCATTTAATTCTAGCGGCCTTATAATCCCGTACATACCCAAGTGGCCAACGGGCCCTTTAAACCCGGACGGAGGTAGTATCAAATAAGCTGGCTTAAAAAAAATTAAAATTTATAAAGAAATTCTTTGGAATTGACTATATTGTAACTTATAATTGTGCAGACTTATTACAAATCAAAATGTCAGTAGCTTCACAAACAATTATTTTCAGATCAACCAACTCAGCTTATTTTTTGCTAACCAAACTCTAAAATTTTATGTGCAACCAGAATTAGCCCGGTAACCACTTGCCACAACTACAAAGTTATATGTATTGCACCATGAAACAGGGAGGACTCATGACAGTGTTTCTGTAACAAGGTGGCATGGCTCAATGTTAGCTACATCACATAATACTTAAGAGGATAGCCGGTACCTGTATTCCTGGGTATCATCAAATAGTGATTTAGAATCATCCCATGTTGAAGCAGCAGTAATTTCCTACAATTTTTCACAGAAAAAGATAAATTAGACCAAAAGAACAACATTCCTAAACTTATCTCACTGAAAACATGATTTAACCAAGGATAAGGTTGCTCTCAGTGAAGCAAGAGCAAAACATAGATTGATGCATATGATCCCAAAAGGTTATGGTCACCTCGAACAATTCTGGACAGTTTTCCCATATATGGCCTAAACAGATAAGGAACTACTATCGACAATGATTTGATATTTGCAGAGAAACTGAAGTGAGGGGAAATTATAATTACACTAAAATTTCCTCAGTTTCAAGCAAGTTTTTGGAATGACATGATCTAGCACTAGGACTATAGTAGGATCCTGAGCCGTTATCTAACAATACAAATTAGAACCCAAATTCAAGTCCTGGATAACTAGAGTCCAGGCAATTATCAAAACAGCTTACTACAGCTGGTGACTAACTAGAGGGATATAAGCACCCAAGAAAATGTGTACTGGAACTAGACACTTTGTTATATTTGCATTCTACAAATGTCAATACCAGCAGCATTTGTGGCCACAATTCATACACTATTTGTGGAAGTCTATGTACGACCATATCATGCAATTCAGAAAGTAGATAACTAAACATAGACAGTTTTCTAACATGAATACCAATAACCAGTGTTAGTAAGTGTTTGCTTAGTTTTTTTCCTTTACCTTACCGATAACTAGTGCTTCGCAGTATAAAAGCAAAGATGCACTAAAGGTTCTGCTGGTACTCATAGTGAACAAAAGCTTTATGTCGAACACTCCTATGTTACTCACTCCCTTCCGGGTCAAATTTTGACCATGAATTTGACTAGCAAAATATAAGTTATATGCCACAGAAAGTATACTATTGGATTTGCATCAGAAAGAAGTTTCCAATTGTATTTTTGGTACATATAACTCATTTTATTAGTTCAATTCATGCTCAAAGTCTGACCAAAGATACTAGGGGGGCTTACAGACCAGAACAGAGGGAATACAACCTTGATGTAATAATCCTGTGCTTTTTGCTGCATATAACAGGACTATTTTAATGTGGCCAAACAACTGTGTGACAAATATTGATGCTATCAATACCTTGATTGAATACAGTAGATCCAGAAAATTATCACCCAGTCGCTGACGCTTCTTGGCCTCCTTTAGATCCTTTTCCTTGAGCCTTTCAATTTGGTCCTCATAAATAAGCTGGATCACATCCACAAAAAAGAAGCAATATTGTCAGTCATAGCTAAAACTCATTGGTACAATCACTTGTATAGCAAAAATACCACTGGGAACATCTCAAGAATATCTTCGAACAATGATAAAAGCGTACAACTGCACCTTGATATTTATGTTCGACACTCCTTTATATTTTTCATCCTCAGTAACAGCAGCTTGGAAGTCCTCTAATGTCCATGAGGCCAACATAGGAATCTAGAAATTAGAAGGTTGTCAACCACACATCTGATGCTACATACAAAACTGTACCATATAATGCACCACACTTTTTCCTTGGAAAGAAAATTATTTTAAATGAAAAGGTACCTTTCCAGATTTCACTTCATCTTTAATTAAAGCCCTATCATCTTGATACTGAAAAGAAAATATTATAAAACCATCAGTTCGCACGGTCAAAAATGGAACACAGGTACATATGGGATTGTAACATGAATTAAATATAAACGAAACACACACCAGATTTATTCAAAACATGAACATCAAATAAATCAACAAGTGAAATTTTACAGCAATTTCAACCGAATTTGATTAATATTACCCAACCTAATTGGGCATATTAATGATATAAGCTTGCAGCTGCAGAGCACGAATGATCATGAAAGAGCAGAATATACAAGAATCCATTATTGTTATAATTCAACTGAGATTTAACTATTTAAATTTGAAAAACAAAAAGTGATTATCAGATGGAACAGCAAGCAAAGCTGTACCATTCCTGATTGAATCATCACCATCAGAAAACAACTAGACACAATTGGCATGATCTGATAGATAATCTCCCACATTGCCGCCATAAAAGAGAAGACTCTGTCCCAAAACCGCCCAACTTAGAGCAAGTAACTGACGCCATGAAAAATAAAAACACTGCTCCAAATTGTTCCAACTTATTTAAGAGAGCAAGTTCAATTATCGAAAAGAGGACCATCAATTTTACTCCCTCTGTCCCATAATGTAGGACCTTTTTTTACAATAGTGTAGGGTCAAAAAACGTCTTACATTATGAGGAGGGAGTACCATTTTTATTGGTATAAGCGTTAGGGCATCCCCGAGATGATGGCAGCAGGGTTATCAAATTTTTTTCATTGATGTATAGATGATGGCAGCTGGAATATCAATTTCTTGTTCATCAGTGTATCAGTTCCCCCAACAATGATGCAAGCTCCAAGCTATTTTCCAATGATAGTTATCTTTACTAAGATATAAAAGGGTTTCTCTATCCCGGCATGCTAAAAAAGACCTAAAAATAGCAATTTAACTAACAGAAAGAAAATAAACTTCACCCAAAAGACTAACTTAACCACAGCCTAGAAAGTCTTTAATAAACATGGAGCATGAATGCAAAAAAAAAACTATCAGTAAGAAAAACTTGGATGAGCGTAGCAGCAAGCTAAAGAACATTTATACTGCGAGGTTGACAGTGGCTTAACGTGATTAGGTCTACGTGTTTTTTATCAGTGGCAAAGCAAGTGTATTTAGCTAGTTTACTAAGTGATTAACACCGTGCCTTTAAAATGATTGTTAACATTTCAGTGTTTCCTCAAAACAAAACATTTCAGTGCAGCATTTATCAAAGTTTGTCGATCTTTGATACAAAACAGGGATCGGTGCAGCATTTATCAAAGTTTGTCGATCTTCGATACAAAACAGGAACCACCAATCCAAGTACTAAAACAGATAAACTGTAGTAGGACGTTCACAAATTGATAAATTATTACAATAATGTCATCAGAATTTTGAGAAATTAACCTGCTTATCAAGCTCCTCCATGACATCATCAAAGAGTTCTTTTGGCATCGAGCCAGACAAGTTTGAAGCAACTGCCAGGTAAGCACGTGAATCTTTTATCTGTAAAATGATAAATTTAAGGAATCAGGATAAACTCGTTTAACATTTGATTTAGGAAAAAGTGTACTCTTCATCCCTCTACTATTGGCAACATCCACTACCCGCAACTCTAAGACCAGACAAAGTTTGTCTTTCAACTATTGTCAAAGTCTAAATTACGTACACTTTTCATCTCTGGGCCAATGTCACCCTTGTTTTGAACAACACAGCACCTACCTATACAAGGCTTTTCACACGCATGAAGTGATTTAGCATCCGGTCAGCAAGTCATTAAAAAGCCAAAATCCATCAACATAATCACTGTGTTTTACTTTAGATGCTGTGCCATACACATGGATGTCAGAGCTTCTGAATGGATGGCATAGCTGTGACCAGCAGGAGCATGAGGGCAGAAGAACACACACAGGTAGACACCATAGCCAGCAAGACAGGCAGCAGCTTCTGAAGGAGAAGAGAGTTCAGGGACGAGAGTAATCTAAATTGATAGCTTAAGATTCACATACAGCCAATAGCTCCTTATATGTCAGATATTTCAACTCAACACAAAAGAAGGGAAATCCTAACATGACTCTAATCCTAAGCTGTTACGAACCTATCAACCTGCAGACTTGGTTGAACCAAAGCATACAGCCAATAGCTTCTATTGCGATCCCAACTACTGCTAAAGTTTAGCCTGTCCTACTGCTTAATGCACCCTACACCTGCTATAGCGTATTCCCCATACCACAGAGGCAGAGATGTGGGATGTAGGTGGACCAAAGCAACTTTGAAATAGTCAGTGATGAACAGACAGTGTTATGGTATGACAGTTGAGCGACAATTCTATCCGGTTTTAGAGTTGAGGCGCCAGCTAAGGAAAAAATATTTCCTTTTAACCCATTACGAAAGTAAATATTTCAATAACCTGTGAACAGTAGTCACGCCAGTAAGTTTTTGCATTAAGTGTGCCATCAGCAACATGTTCTTCCATCATCTTCCGAAACTCATCGCGGTTTTTCCGTTCCTGTCTCCTTAATTGCTCCTGTATTAGCAGAGTACCAACAATTACGTCCATATCAGTAAAGCATTGGAAATATATTAGTGATGAAGATAACAACAAACCTTCCGAATTCTCTTCTGTTCTTCTTCTTCTTTCTCAAGATGCCTTATATAGTCCTGTAACAAACAGAGATGTTTTGTTAAACCACAAAATGAGAAAAACTGATATAGAGTGCAGAAGATACAAACTTGAAAAACATCCAAGCGGTCAATCTTCTCAAGTCGGGCATAGCGTTCATCATCCTCTAGCCGATCTTGAACTTTTCGCCACTGGGAGTTTGCCTGAGCATACAATCTCACAATGATGACATTCTGAGCAAGTGAACATATACTAATTCACTAGATGATAAGGTCGAAGAAATAACCTTGATGAAATCACATGACTCAAGAAATTCTCTATATTCTGCTATGCGTCTTTTGTGCTCTTCAGCAGCCTTTGCTTTTTCCTACAATGCAGCACAACACTTATTAGATAAAGATCACCATGTGATATTATTTTAGGCTACAACATATACAAACCTCATAGAATAGTTTTCCAACAAAAAAACTCACAACGTTGTACTTGTTGGAAATTAAGTCAGAAATCTGTCATTCTGAGAAAGTGATTTATATTGTTTCGGTACTGATTCATCATAGGATCATTAATCCATTCCTTTGTTTGGTTCAAGGGAATCAGAAAGCCAATCACCAAGTGAACCACAATTAGTAGAATAACCCTTGGAAAATTAAACTGAGAAAACAGCAGAAAACCTGCTGGCAAACAAAAAATGAACATCCCCCACCCTCAAGCTATGTGTATTATTACTTGGCCAAGATTCCAAATATCAATACTTAATTAACTCGTGTTGAAATTTAGAAACGAAAAATGAATATCCCCCACCCTTGAGCTGAAGTCTGGCACATGGGTATGTGAGGGGCAGATGTTTTTTGGCCAAAGGCGTCTAATTTCCAGGAAACAGGCCGAACTAACAATGTTTTGTTCTTATTAGGGCCACATCCAGTTTCCTTGAACCTGGGACGAGGCCATTTCTTCATCATGTTCATATCAAGAATACAAAGCAAATTACCAAGACCACAAACCACTCCAGGTTACTTATTTGAAACAAACAAAACATCAAGCTGGTTAAAGATAAGTTAAAAACATTGATAGCCTAACTGAATTATCTGTGAGATAAAGCAATTAAAGAAGAATTGAACTACAAAAGCAATCAGTTCTCCCAGTTATATAGCATAACAACCACAACTATAAGTTAGTGTTTTCATATCATATAACCTTCTTTTGCAGCTCCACGAGATAGTTCTCAAATAAATCTTCACGCTCCTTGGGGCGTTCAACAGCATTGAACCTTTCATCATGCCCAAACATAGTAATTGCTTTGCTGCAGTGAAGAACAGCATGCTAAGTGTATGCAACAATAACAGAAAGAACCATATTAACAAACAGAAACTTTAATTATTAGAATTAATGAAAAGCATGGAACTTTCTGGTTGTCATATACAAAAAAGAGTTTGAGAATATACCTCCATCTCAGTGATGATGTAAGGTCCTTACATTCCTGAAATACGTAACAAAGTGTTTAATATGGTAAAAATGATAAGGGAAGGGAAAGCTTACTAGAACAATCTTACTTCCAGCATTGTGAGAAAATCATCACGTGCTTTCCTTTGCTTGACACGCCTCTCCTCAACTTCAATCTTTTTCCGCTGGTTTAAGTACTGCAAAAACAGCAGAAATGACGGTTTACCACAAATCAGGAAGACAATGTGAGTCAGATGATTCCGTAAAAATTTTCTCTTATAAGAAAGAAATGATAACCTCATTGAAAGCTTGCTTTCTCTCTCCAAGAGTTTTCAGAGCACCATATCTTTTGTCACTTATAATAACTCTCATGGCCTGGGGCAAATTATATCACTGTCAGGCATTTGATTTATTTAATTAATCATAGTTCAATTCAATTTCTGTACCTGATCCCATGACCAATCAGACTGAACATTTGCTGATTCAAGCAGGGACTTGAATGCATTCTTTGCTTCCTGTGGTTTGAAAAAAAAAATTAGGGTCACAAAAGTAAATCAATTGCTGATTTTCAATTTACTTCTGTACTAGTCTTCCTCACCAACTTAGTAGCATAAACAACAGGTTCTTCTTCACTTGTTTTATCCTCCAGCGGAGTAACATTGATCTTCCCTGCAGTTGGCATTGTCTTTTTGGCCTCCTGGTGGCAGTAAGAGAATGTAGCACTAGCATCAATGGACTGAGACAGAGAGACGCTCTCACAGTTACTCCCTCCGTCCAATAATATAAGAGCGTTTTTGACATTATTGTAGTCTGAAACGCTCTCATATTATGGGACGGAGGGAGTACATGGCAGCACAAATGTAAAAAGGAAAAAAATTGCAGTTACACTCACTACGAAAGTACAGTCCAATTTAAAATACTCAAATTTATTAAAAAAACAGAACATGCAAATATGTCGATGTGTGAAAATAGCAGCAGCTGTAAGGTGACTACTCATGATGTTGCCATACTAGTCCTAATTGTAATAGGAACCTCAGATTATTCAAGGAACTTTTCATAAGGTAAAGTTGAGACTGCTAAATGTTGCATTGAGCCCTAGATTTCAACAGGCCTAAATAAAAACAAGGAATAAAATAGAACTTCTTAGTCCTATGAACTGAATCACAAAATGAGACTTGGTACCATGGCAGTCCATATACTATTAGAATGTTCTAAACTAATAAGCATACAAAGCAATACCAGTAACACGAAATATTATTCATGTGTCGCATGTAAACCATCTCTTTGCTATTACAGTAACTTTGCTTTCTCAAACTCTCCAAATCAACTGATCAATAAGGTAAGTACTTTGCAGTAATTGTAAAGGATCGTGGTTATGGTTTTCACAAGGAAAGGAGACTACGTACAGGGATATTAAAATGACTCGGCAACTCAATAAATTAAGAAACTAC